GAAAGAAAAGGTCAAATGGTCCATATATGAAGATATGCCCACCTCAGTCAGGCACAAGCTAAAAATCTTATAGCAATGCCAAATGTTGGCAAGGAGATGGAGAAGTAGAAACCAATACAGTACGGGAGTATAAACTGATGCAGTAATTTTAGACAAGTTTAGGTTGCACATGCCCTACAATTCAGTACTTCCAGTTTTACTTACAGCTTAATTAAAAGACTCATACATGTATAAAGGAGATACAAATATGTGCATTGTAGCACTGTTTGTAACAGTAAAAAAAATGCACCCAACTTAATCATATGATCAAATATTATAGAGACATTAAAAAGAGTGACTTTAGCAATAAGTAGATGATAGCTATATAGATCTCAAAACTAGAAAAGTGCTAGGAAAATGATATAATATGATATATAATCTTTTAAATCATTTGAGTAAACTTTTAAGAACATATCTGCTATACTATTTCTTGCTTATGGATCTACAGATACAAGTACAGCTTTAGACATAAAAATGGATTAAAATGATGTACAACCCACTCATAACAGTAGTTGCTGGGGCGTGGGGGAGGCAGAAGGAGTAAGCCTGGAAGTGGTGGTTAAATGTGATTTCTGCTTTATCTCCAATGACTTGTTTCTTCAAAAAGGAAAAAGAAAAGCACGGGGAAAGGAAAAATTCCTGGAGCAAATATAACACAATGTTAAAAGTTGTTTATTCCCAGTGGTGAAAATCTGAGTGTTTGTTGAACTTTACACACACATACACACACACTCACACACACACACACAGTCTCACACATCAATCACATAGACTGTATTAGTGTCCACCAAGCAGTGACAGGTGAAAAGTACTGGAATATTTTTAAGGAGTGGTAAATTACATCTGAGTTAATCATCTCAATATAATAATCTCTGACTACTTAGGATACAGGACGCTGGTTTTATCCCACAGTATTTAGAAGGCAAGAAGCTGGGAGGAGAGTGGAGGAGTCCTACACTGCCTGTTGGGCCTGGGGTGGTTTGAGAATGTAATCAAATTCAGTTACTGTAACAGTCACAGGACAGCGCCAGGCTTAAAGCGACAGTGCATAAATGGAAACAGGGTTCCTCCTTACTCACGAGTCTAAGACTGGGAGATCACCTGGGACTAGGAAACTCCTCTTCTTAGAGCTAACCTCCTCAGAGCAGTCTCTCAGCACAAACAGCCCTCATCCCGGATGTGGCCCTTGGTCTTCTCCTGGAATGGCAGGAAGCCCTTCCCAGCTTGCCTCTCAAAGTTCTGACACAGTTGAGCGCTCAGCGCTTCCCCCTCCACCCTGTCCTTCTGATCAGGGCCTCTGGGCCCAGGCGCCTTACACACTCACAAACTCTGCTCCCATTGCCCTCTAAGTACCTCCGTTCTCCCAACTCAGCCTAGGAGGATAAAAAGGAACTTCCCTACTTACAAGCTAATTCACCTTTCCTCCAAGTGGTGACAAAAGTACGTAACGTAACTTACCAAGGATATGATGATACGTCCAGTCACTGGAGACAACGTGAACTTAATACAAATTTTTGCTGATACCGTTGTAGTCTAACTCATCAGTTCTCAAACTTTATGGTCTCAAGAACCCTTCATATTTTTAAAACATATTGAAGAACCCAAACAGACTTTGTTTATGTGGGTTGTATCTATCGACATTCACCATGTTAGAAATTACAACAGATTTATTAATTCATTTAAAAATAATAAATCCATTACATGTTAATATAAATAGCACTTTATGAAAAAAAATCATATTTTCCACAAAATAAATATTTTTTATGAATCTTTTACTGATGAGTGATTTTGTAACAAAAATCATCAGTTGTTGTTAGTGGGGGCAGAGGCATAACTAGGGTACGGCAGGTATGGCAGATATTGCACCAGCCCTGGGCTTGTGGCACTACTGAACAGTTTCTGATACACCGTTGGTGGTATCCGCGTATCTGAAACTGCTCTCCAGCCTTGGGTGATTGTGTTGTCAGATATGCCGCTGAGGTGCTGATTGCCATGGAGTTGATTCCTGACTTATGGCGACTCCATGAATTAGAGTAGAACAGCTGCATAACGTTTTCTTAGCTGTAATTTTTACTGAAGCAGATCACCAGGCCTTTTCTTCATGGTACAGCTGGATAGTTTCAACTGCTGACTTTTAGGTTAGTAGCTGAGCACAAACCATTTGCACCACCTGTTTGGAAAATATTGGTTCACTGAGCTATGAAGATCTTCTAAATCAAATTTACTAAGATCACCACTGATCTCATCAGAAAAGTCTCTAAGTTTTGGGAAGCTTTCCAGCTCATGGAGGCAAATACAAGTTTTCCAAAAGTCTAATTTTCACTTAAAAACTCAAATTGTATCATTAGGAATCATACTGTGAGTTATTTTCCTTAAAGTGGCAGGCTCACTTTGTCCATTTTTGAGGAAGTGTTTGCCAAATAGCTGAGTCTTTAATCCTAGTTTGTCGATCAATCTCATCCTTTCAAATAAAAATGATGCTCCCTGAAATGGCGCTGACAACTTGACAGCTCAAGCGTCTCACAAGTGTTTTTCTTCAAGACAACTGTCTTACTTTGGTGTGTAGGAGTGATTTGTGCATAATTCCTATTTTATCACTCAATATTAAAAAGATGTGCACTCAAGGATCAAGACTTAATAAAATTAGCAAATTTTACAGCTTCATCAAGGGCATTCTTAAGTGAAACAGGATTTTTTTTTTTCTGGGAAGTGCCTTACAGTGTAAAACACAATGAGTAAGGGTCCAGTTTGGTGCCATCGCCTGGATTTGCATGAAGTCACCAGTAGTTTTACCTGCCATTGCTTTTGCACCATTAGTGTACATGTCAGCTGTCTTAGTTATCTAGTGCTGCTATAACAGAAATACCACAAGTGGGTGGCTTTAACAAACAGAAATTCATTTTCTCACAGTTTAGGACGATTGAAGTCTGAATTCAGGGAGCCAGCTCTAGGAGAAGGCTTTCTCTCTCTGTCAGCTCTGGGGGAAAGCACTTGTCTCTTTTGAGCCTCTGCTCCTGGGTAATCTTCACGTGGCTTGGCATCTCTCTTCCCTCATCCCTGCTTGTTTTATCTCTTTTATATCTCGAGAGATTGACTCAAGATACATCCTACACTAACCTGCTTCATTAACATAATAAAGACAACCCATTCCCAAATGAGATTATAACGACAGGTATACCCATTACCGATGATTCCGACTTACAGTCTAAATGCCCCATACAAATGCCCCATACGTTTTCCAAGGAGTGGCTAGTGGATTCGAACTGCTGATCTTTTGGTTAGCAGCCTGACCTCTTGACCACTACACCACCAGGGCTCCTAGGATTTACAACATATATTTTGGGGGGACATAATTCAATCCATAACATCAACTCATTGAAAAAGGCAAAGAACATTTCGTATTTGTCTGTTTCCTATGGCATCCATACAAAATACCACAAAGTGGGTGGCTTTGAAGTACAGAAATTTATTTTCTCTTAAGTCCAAATCAGGGTCTCAGATATGTCAATTCCTTCTGGGGACTTTGAGAGAGAAACTGTTGCATGCCTCTCTCCCAGTTTCCGGTGACTGCTGACAATTCTTGGCGTTCCTTTGCTGTTTGTAGATGATCTGCCTCCATCATCATGTGGCCTCCGTCTTCCCTCTGTGTGTCTCCCTCTTAGAAGACAACACTTAGAATTAGGATTAGGATTAGGACCCACTCTACTTCTGTATGACTTTTTTGACTGATAAAAAAATAAAATAAAATCCTATTTCCAACCAAGGTCACATTCACAGGTACTAGGGGTTAGGACTTCAGTATATCTTTTTGGAGGAAGACACAATTCAATTCGTAACAGTATTATTATGCAAAGACTCCTTGCAGACATGAGGGGTGTCTGGTCTAAGCAAATAAAATGTGTATACTGACTTAAAAAAACATTTGTCAAGTACCCTCGCAAGCTCTCTGATCACTACCTAGGCTCACTCCTCCTGTGGAGCTTAAGTTACATGACCTGATGTGGAAGTTTTCCCAAGGGTGAAGCTGTACGCCACATAAAATGTTATTTTTTTCCCCAGAACAAAAAGAAAACCTAACAGCAGGAAGGTAACAAGCAGAGGAACTACTGGGGGGCAGCAAGTATGTTCCTTCCCATTGGCTCTTGTCCAGCCTCTGGCACTGATGACCTTGCTATAAACACTGCAAAATGCATCCCTAGTATTTAGGTGGGACCACCAAGGGCTGTAGAACCAGGCAACCGTTAGCTACCGTAGCATAAAGACGATGCTTAAATCAGATCTAGAGAGCCCCCAATTGAATGATGCCAAGCACAAAGGTTGTCTGCTCTATTTGGAGGGCTCTAGAATTACTGGAATGAAGGAAAGAAGAAAGGAAGGAAGGGAGGGAGGAAGAAGGAAGGGAGGGATAAAGGGAGACAGGAAGGCAGGCAGGCAAGAAGGAAGGAAGGCAGGAAGGAAGGAAGGTAAGAACTGAAGAAGGAGATATCAGAGCAGATCACAAGGGTACGTGTAAGTTGCCATTCAATCAACACATATTTGTTGAGCACCTATGACATGTTGGCTATTGTTTTAGACACTGTCATATAGTGATACACACAGCAACTTAAGTGGAGCTTTGCATGGTGTGTGAAAATCTTTTCAGGCCTCTTCCAGGAGCACCTTTGCTGAGGGCCCCCCACACCAGTCACTAGCAGATGGTCTGTAAATGGGGGCCTGCAGTGTTGTCCTCTTCCAAGCTCACCCCTAACAAGTGTCACAGGGCTCACTTGCTGCTCGCTGCTCACTAAATATCCTCCCATCCATCACCATTACCAGAAGACTAGTTCAAGCCACTTTCATTTCTCACCTGCATTGCTGCAAGATCCTCCTACCTCTAGTTTTCCCCCTCCCCCTACTCAATGCTTACTTCTTTCTAAGATACAAATATGATTACGCCACTTTGTTTAAAAACACTTGGTGTCATGCTCGCTTCGGCAGCACGTATACTAAAATTGGAACTATACAGAGAAGATTAGAAGGCACCTGCACAAGGATGATGTGCAAATTCATGAAATGTTGCATATTTTTCAGAATAATACAGAACGACACTCATGTAGAATTGGAACCTGGAAGGTAGGGTGGTGAAGGGGTAAAGACAGGACTTTGGTGTCAAAAAGAAGAGGGTTTGTACCCCAGCTCCACTACTTATAACTGTGACCTTGGGCGATGTGCTTGACCTTTCTAAGATCCATTTCCTAACATATGAAATAAAGATGAAAACAAAAAAACTTGGTGTTAGTTGTTATTGGTTGCTGTTCAGTCAATTCTGATTAATGGTGACCTCATGTGAAAACACTACTGCCTGCAAGATGAAGTCCAAGCTCTTAGTGTTATTTACAAGGGTGTTCTGTCACCTGACCTCTGCTTACCTGTCTAGTCTTATTTATAAGACTCCTTGCCCCCTCACCTTCTATGCTCCACCCAGACTGAACTATCTTCAGGTCCCTACCTGCTCCATTCACTTTCTTGCCTATGAGCCTTGCCACGTGCTACTTCACAAGACTGCAAGTCCTTCGAGGACAAAAGCCACATCTATCTAATTCAACACTGAGTCTTCAGTGCTGAGCACTGTGCCCAGAAATTAGCAGGCACTGAACACTTATTGAATCAGGAATGGGCATATCTTTTAGGCTTTCTGCCACAGGGCCCTGGCCTGCACAAGCACTAACCAGAAGTACAGAGAATTATCACTTGTCCCTCCGCTCACATCTCCCAGCTGAACTGAGCCCCCACTGACCACCGCAATGACCTTGATAACACACGGTTATATTGGCTTTTCCTCACCCTTTGCTGTCTCATTATCCTTACTTGCTCACTCCTGCTTCCTATTTCCTCCCAAATATGCCACTAGCACTTGAATCTTTGTCTCAGGCTCCGCTTTCAAGGAGAACCTAACCTAAGACATTAACTCAGCATTACTTAGCAGAGGTGGACTATGACACAGGAGCAAAGCTGCATTTACGCATGGAAGCATTTCTGGGTAAGTCAAAATTTACATTTGGGTGTGGAGGCAGGAGGCTTTCTGAAAAGTCTAGGGCCCCTAAGGCCATACTTCTAGAACAATCTTTGTTGATATCCTGTTTTATCTTGCTGCACAGGACCAAACTGGCAAAATAGGAACTATATTTACTGAAATATTATTTCCCTATTTCAATGTTGACCCAGAAGTCAGGCTATCATGAAAAAATCAGGAGAAGAAGGGAAAAAATATGCTTTTAAAGAGCACATCCTTATTCAATCTTCCTTGCTTTCAATGGAGAAAAACACATTCAACTGAAGGTGAATGGCCACGAAGCCTGCTGTTTTTGTCTTTTTCACACCCATATTTATTTTTTTTCCATCTGAAATAACTAGTTCTTGTAATTTATCAGATGAAATTCCCTCCATGTACGTATGTATATATGTATTATTACAATACAATTCCATTGTGTTTATTGTAAAAGAACAGCTTCACACAGGAGAAGAGTAAAGATAATATGATAATTTTGGAAGAGAAAAATTCTCAGGCAATATTTATGAGCAACAGAAATCTATCTGCTCTACTCTGATCATGGATTTATGAACAAATGTTGCTGCTGGAAGGTTTCCCAGATTTAATTTTTAATTTTAGATCTTAGCGTGTAATAAACTGGGCATGAAATTATTTAAGATGATGCTATTATAGGAAGAAAGGAGTTTGCCCTGGTGACGCAGTGGTTAAGCGCTTAGCTGCTAACAAAAGGTCGGCTGTTCGAATTCACCAGTCTGTTTCCGTAAAGATTTACAGCCTTGGAAACTCTATGAGGCAGTTCTACTCTGTCCTGTTGGGTAGCTATCAGTTGGAATCG